GTGGTAAATGGCACTTTGAGCCGAACGTCAAACACTTGCACAAAAAAAAAGCCAAGTGGCAAGTGACATTCTAGCCGAGCGCCAGGCATTTAGCCAAGTAAGTAGTAAATGGCACTTTGAGCCGAATGCCAAACATTTACACAAATTAAAAAGTCAAGTGACAAGTGGCATTCTAACCGAGCACCAAGCACTTAGCCAAGTAAGTGGCAAATGACACATTGAGCCGAACGCCAAATACTTGCACAAAAAAGAAAGCCAAGCGGCAAGTGGCATTCTAGCCTAGCGTTAGGCACTTAGCCAAGTAAGTGGTAAATGGCACTATGAGCCAAACACCAAAAACTTACCAAATAACAGACAATTGACAATATTAAAATTCTCATTTCATTTAAGCACAAGACAAATTATGAATACTTGGCAAAACAAAATTGTCATTTCATTCATCATTACAAAATAGTCCACGAGATACAAAAGTAATAATGGAATGAAATGAAACAAGTACATAAGCCAGCAGAACTCTAGTCTATCAGATCTTCTCCTGTACCCGATCCATTGCTTGTTTCACCATCATTGACTGCCTCATCATCACTGGCTAATACATTGTTTCCTCCTTCACCATTGATCGTTTCCTCACCTTTGGATGGAGAATCAAGATAGATGACCTCCTTAGTTGGCAGAGCTCTATCAGTGGCAACAACGGCGGGAGGAACATTGATAGTGATGGGAGAGATGCTCAGAGGGCGAACAGGTGGGATAACACCAGAAGTTGCAATCTCATTACACTCAATGAATATATTCTCAGCAAGACAGGAAGTGGATCCTTGTAAACGTTCGACGGGTCAATTTTTAAAAAGGCGTCAACAGCATCCGGACTTGTGTAGGAGCTTGTTTCACCTTCGGAAGGAGAACGGTCAATGAAACCATCTCTATACCCTTGGGTATATCTAAGAGCCCTAATGTGAGAAAAACAAGCATGAAGAGCCTGCATGCCACCATCAACTCTACCTATAACATTTAGTAAATCAGTACGCTCGTTCGAGAATTTCTCTTTAAAAACAGAATGGGTCAGCCGTTTGGAAACTAGAGTGTGCTAAAGGTTCCCCTTCTCAACTTTCAGAGCATCTCTCTCTATCTGCATAACGTTTCTCTCAGTCTTCAGGACGTCCATCTCATCATGAGGGAAGTCTTGCTAATTCTTCAGAGCATCTCTTTCAGCCTTTAGAGAATCTATTTCCTTCTCTGATTATTCAGCTTAACTAACAACTCTGTGTTTTTGGCTTCTACTACCTTCATTCCCTTAACAGATCTCTCAAGTCCAAGAGAAAGGGCATTAACTCTCTTGTTTGCCAATTCAAGATTTTCTCTAAAAGGTGATCATCCCAAATAGAGTCTGCACAAAGACACAAGCGTTCTGGTAAGTACAAGTGTAAAGTGATTTGAACAAGAAAAACGAATGAAAGTTGGTACAGAAAAAAAAAGAGCTACCTCAACAGCCGCTGCGAGAAAATGGTTAAATATGTCATTGAAGGACATTTTTTCCTGGGTCTGTATATCCTGAGGGGTCCAAATGCCCTTATAGAAAGTAAATGAGGAGGCAGGATCCTTGAACACAGTGTCTGTAGGAGCCACAATTAACCTATCCTCCCATTTGAGTATGGGGCACCATGGAACCACAGCTGGGGAGGAGACAGAAGTTCTAGCTGATTCACCTTCTAGAATGCTTATCTGAGGTGAAGGGAGAGTGGTGGTGACCCTATAGGTTCTAGCCCTTCGAGTCAAGGGAAGGTCATTAGGATTGGAACCACTTTCAGGTTGGGGCCTCTTACCCAAACTTTTCTCCGAAGCAGCTGTTCAAACAGGAGAAGTTTCCTTAGTGATTGGGTCAGTAGGTGGAGGAACTTCGTTTAGAGCCTCATAACGGTTATTAGTTGGCAAAGTGGGTTGAACCTCGGTCGAAGTGGATACAAGAGGCTCAGAAGTAGGCTACCCAGTGTTCTGAGCCATAATCGGAACGGTTGGGATGGCTACAAAGGCAGTCGGGGCAGTTGTAGGAGTAGTTACAGAAGGGGGCCTCTTCTACTGAAAGAAGGAATCTGGATATGTTCCATAGTAGCACCAAGAACTGATATGTCAGAAAGGTTGTCCGAAGTAAGTAAATCAGTAGTAGAGGGAATGTCGTTCAGTACTTTCTCATTCAGATGGTCGAGTCTATCCCTACAAACGCTGAAAACTGATTCATTATGAGGAATGTGAAGGCAACGGCAAAGGAAAGTGCAGAAACGAGGAAGACATGTTTCACAAGGGCAATCGCCTTGTGCTTCTTATGTTTTTTTTATATAAGGGAATAGAACACTCCCCAAAAGTGGTTGAGATAGGGAAAGTCTGAGTGAAGGGAGTTCGCTAAGCTCCACTAACCCCAATTAAATTACTTCTCCAACCCTTTTTAGAGGCAAGTTTGTCCGTACATGTAGTCCATTTTTCAAGGGGCAAGAACTGAAAATACATGTCATTCGTTATGATTTTAGTGACTCGATAACAAAGAATAAGATCTATGATGTCAATATCTAGATTTCTGTCACTATTTAAGATCAATAGAACTGATATCACCCTAAGGAAATTGGGGTTGACTTGAATAGGGGCAAGCCCTAATTTGCTAAAGACGTAACAAAAGAATGGGTGCAAGAGAAATCTAATTACATTTAGGTGAAGGACAGAAAAGAGAACTTTTACGGGAAGAAGACCCTCACTAGATCTCTCATCTAAGTCCTCGGGATAGACCCTAATGGAAACATCGTTAGGGATTTCATTCTTCGAACGAAGAGCCTCTAAGTCAGGAGCCATTATAATGGTGGAGGAAATTCTTAGTTCTAGGGTTTCTTTCTTTTAAGAAAAGTAATAAAGAGAAAAATCCCCAAAAAATAACTGGGGATTGGAACTAACCTCAGGAAGAAGATCTGCAGAGTACACCGCAACAAAATAAAAGTAAAGAGTCATAAAGGAAGAACTCACCGGAGAAGACAAGGAGAACTCACCGGAGAAGGCTGGTTAATGGTAGAAGCGATTAACAAAGACGATGCTTGAAAGTGAAGATGAGAGAGATAGAGTAAGGACAAGAGCTGGGAGTTTGGGGTTTTAAAGAGAAAGCGGCTCAATATCCAAAGAATCATGGCAATGATGGTGCTTCAAATTTCAAAACATGGGTCTTTGAGCCAACCGTTCGCTTCCCCACGTCACCACCTCAAGCAGTCTCATCATGATTAAGTCTCTTCGATAATCTCACCCTAATCAATTAGGGAGAGATTATAGAGGCAGATGAGGATATCAAAAATGACCTGGGCCGGGCACGACCGAGATTACTAGAAACGGGTCTGGAAAGAACACTTCGTCCAATCAGATTATTATTTATCAGGCCCTGTACCCACTAAATCAGTCCTAAAGCCCAATCTAAGAGCAAAGGAAATGGGCCCATATTTAAGATGAGCCCAAAGGATCGACTCAGAGTAAAGAGTTAAGTAGGAAGCTTCTAGAACAATTGTAAAGGTCTATAAATAGACTGAAAAGAGAGGGAAAAGCGATTGAGATATTTTGAAGTGTAAAAACTAATCTTTCTAAATTGAGAGAGTTTGTTTCTTGCATCTTCAATGTAATACACACATACACACACATTTATGTTATTAAATATAAATGATGTCATTACAGGGATTTGACAAGAGCTCAAGTCCAAGAGTTCTTCCTATAGCACAAAACCCATTTGACCACTTCTCTCGCGCCCCTTCCTCAACTACATCTCCCTCCGGTTCTCCAATCCAGCCATTTCCCAGGTATTTCTTTAATATATATACATATGTATACATATATATGTATTTTATGTTTATGTATCTTCAAATTCATATGTATATGTATTTGATCTCTCTTTTGAATCTTTAATTTTCACCAAAAATCATATACAGTCGTTATTGCTTGTGGAGTCAGAGTTTTAACTACTACGTAATTGGTAAGGATACAACCACGTTTTAATGGGTTTTCGAAGTTTATTTTTACATTTTTTCTCAAGTTAAGCTGAAGTTATAGAATTACCTCTGTAACCCTCTCCCTTTCCTCGTTCAGGTTTAAAAACATAGGAAAGAGAGAACAAGAAACCAAAAAATCACAAGAGCACAAAAACAGTGATAATAGAGAGAGAAAGGGAGAGAGAGTATACAATCAAATAATACAGTAAAGTAAAAAAAAAAAACCCTGAACTATTGACTTTTTGCAACTAACCTCCCTAAATTAAAGATTGCCTCTCGAAATTATTAATTTGTTGCAATTAAGGACAAATACATCATAAAAGACTACTTTACCCTTTCTTTTTAAATTTGTCATTTCTTATTAAATTATTTTTTATTAAATTTTCTCTTATTTAAATATTAATTATACCATAATTACCATTTACCTTAATTTTATAATTAGTATCAATTGATTATAAAAATGGAAAAAAAAAAAAAAAAGATTTGTAATTATCATTTTCTAAAATGATTAACTTATTATAATAAAACTTATTATACTCACTTTAAAAAAAAATTAATATAAAAAATATCTTTTTTTTTTTTCAAACAATATTAATGAAAAATTAATAAATTACGTAAATAAAAAATATCTTCTTTTTAATGCAATATATTCATAAAAATTAAGAAATTATTTAATTGTTTCAAAAATTTCTATTTAAGATATTTATTTAAATAATTAATTTAAAAAATTAAAGGCAAACTTATGCAAATTTAATGGACTATATTTCATCAAATTAATATGAATTTTTTTTCATAATTTATTTCAACAAAAAAAATATATCAAGTATAATTTAATAAGAAATGGTATTATAGTTATTTAATGATAAAATAGGTAAGACAATAGAACATTTTGCAACTAAATATAATAACTTAGTGGTTTTATGCATGAAAATTTAGACATAATTGAGAGTTGTGTTTTTTTTTTTTTTTTTTTTTGAAACCCCAGTTTATATATATGCAACACACTCGTACGCGTTTATGCTGTTAAAACCCTTCAAAGCCCTATTCTTTTCTTTTTCTTTCTCACTTCCTCTCTTTTCCTCGACTAGCTCTCTTTTCCTCTCTCAAAGCTGAAGCCATCACAGAGCATCTCCACTCTGCTACTTCTTCACTCGTCTCGCGGAGTTCATCACAGATTCTCTCTCTTTCTTGGATTCTCATCGCCGGCCACCTCTGAGTCTTCTCCGTTCATCTTCTCCGACCAGCATCGTCGTCTTCCTCTCCGAATTCCTGCTTCTCTCGGATCTTCATTCGGGTAAGTCCCTCCCCTCTCTCTTCGTATATGTGAGTATCCATGTTTAAAAATTCTGAAAATAAGGTTTTTAATTTTCGAAATTACTGAAATGGGGAGTTTGGGTTTTGATGTTGATATATATATATATATATGTGGGTTGCTCTGTTGAGATATTATGATGAGGACAGTTTTGCATATATACATATATGGGTTGTGTTTCGAATTTCTGTGAATCTGTGATGATATATATGTGTGTTGTGGAGTGAAAATTGGAGGTTTTTGTTGTTGAATAGGATTGATAAAAATTGGGGGATATTATTTGATTTTATATCCTTTTTATATGCATTAATATTGAGGGATGAATTTGATCATTGTTGGATTGTAACTTGACATATGTGGATATGTGTTGCAAATTTAATAAATTTGGGAGGGGATTTTGTTCTATATGTGTCTTATGCATAGAAACTGAAATTTGGGCAAAAATTGAATTTTTAACTTCTCTAAGTGTTCAATGCATGGCCAAAAATTGAAATTTTGGACTTGGCGACAAACTGTGGAGAATATGCATGTTTCAATGGTTTATACATGTTCAAATGTGGGTATCTTTGTGTACACAAGGTGCTGATTTGTGGCAACTTGAGAATTTAATTGTCTCAACTGTTTGGCATGTTCAAATAATCCATGTATTGAGAACTGAAAAACAAATTTGTGTTATGTGTGGAGGGCTTAAAAATTCTGAAATTGAAACCTTTAATTTCTGAAGGTGTTCTATGTATATATGTGGGCATTTGGGACATTTTGGATAGTGATCTTCAATTCATTGATGCATATACATGAGGTTCTTTGAGGTGTAGTAATTCTGAAAATTTAAAGGCTGAAACTTGTTATATTTTGATATATAATTTCAAAATCTGAAAGTGAGATTTGATACTTGAAAGTTGATATGTGGAAATTGATTCTTGTTTCTATAAATGTCAATCACTCCTTATGCATGAATTCTTATGAGAATGCTTATCTACAATGCGTGTGAAAACAAAATCTCCAAAATTTCAGTTTTGAAACTAAGTGTTTAGAACTTTTCAGAAATTGTCCAAAGTGTCCATAATTGAAATAAATGTGTTCTATATGCTCTATGTTTGATATATCCTCCCAAATGCATGGTCTTGTGGGTTCATGAATGCAAATTTTTCAAAGTTCTTGATTTTAGCCATGTGAGGGCATTTCATGGGTTTTCGAAGTTTAATTTTACTTTTTTTCTCAAGTTAAGCTGAAGTTATATAATTACCTTCCCTCTCTCCTTTCTCGTTCAGGTTTTTAAAACGGAGGGGAGAGAGAGAGAGAGAGGAACAAGAAAATATAAATGATGTCGTTACAGGGATTTGACAAGAACTCAGGTCCAAGAGTTCTTCCTATGGCACAAAACCCATTTGACCACTTCTCTCACGCCCCTTCACCAACTACATCTCCCTCCGCTTCTCCAATCCAGCCATCTCCCAGGTATTTCTTATATATATATATATATATATATATATATATATATATATATATATACATATGTATATATGTATGTATTTTATGTTTATATATCTTCAAATTCATATGCATATGTATTTGATCTCTCTTTTGAATCTTTAATTTTCAAATTCACCGCTTCCGTAACCTCCTCTCAAGCCATTTCAGTCAGCCAACACCCTCCCTTGTCATGGAAGCCCAGAACCCGTCACTGCTGCCGCCGCCGACCACCCGGCTGCCATTACCATCCTCCCTTGTCATGGAAGCCCAGAACCCATCACCAGTAACTTCAGTGGTTGATTGCTCACACAGACCTGACAGTAATCCTAATATCCCATCATAAGACCTAGATGATAAAACAATGAGATGTTCTGTCTGTTTATGGATAAATGGACTGTATATCATGACTGTCTTATTTCTTGTTCCTTTATTATGGAATATGAATAAATAGGAGAGTTCCATACTCTTCTCTTTGTCATACTCTTACTATCCACACTAATTGCATGTTCCTTCCTTTCGATTAGTGGTCTTTGTTGGTTGCTTATTGGTTTCTTAATTTTGGTTCCTTTTGATCCAGCACTTCAGTTACATAGTTTCGATTGTGATATATGGTTTCACTTCTTTCCTCAGATCTCTATAATTATGCCTTATTTTATTTTATTTTTGTTTGTGTGTTTGTTTTTTGCAGGCCTGCTTTATCTCATCCTCCATGGGGTAATCAGCCAAAGGATGGGAAACTGATTGGTCTTGTTGAATCAGCCAAGGTTACCAGGCAGCTTTGCCAGCTCCCTGATTTAACAAGACCAATCAGTTTCCCATTCTTTAGGCACTTATGCTTCTGGAAGTAGCTTTCCAACCAAGCAACAAACCAGGTCCCCAGCTTTGCTATCTGCAAATGAAGTTACCCAGGAAAATTCTCATTTTTCTTGGAATAAATATAAAAGGTACAAGTAATTTTCGCACACTTTCAGCATCATTGATGTCATTTTCTTCTTGGCAATTTTCTAAAAACAATGATGCCAAAAGATGGTTGTTCATATGGGCAGAAAAGTATTTTGCTTTCTTTTCTTTTCTTTCTTTCCTTTATTTCTTTTGTTTTAACTTAAGATGAGCACCTCTTAAGATTAATCTTAGGAAAAGTAAGATTCACCTTTGGAATTCAACATGAAAGGTATCACAAACCTCAAATCTTGAACCTAGAAGGTTGTAATGGCAATCCTAATAGTTTATATTATCAAAGGGATCTACTTACCATTTTATTGAAAATTTTAGAAGTGCTTACATCCTTAGACCTAAAAAGATTGTGATGATGAGATCAGTACTGATCCTCAGAATTAAAAGGAGATTAAGCAGGCCTTTTTACTCTTTTTGATTAACATACATGTCTGAGTCCCTTTTGGAATTTATTGACAAGGTTATCAGAATGGAGAATGATGTAATTGAGCTCCTAGGAGATGAAGAGAAGATAAAAAATCCCTTTGTCATCCTTTCTGTACTAGAGAATCATAAAAAATCGAAGTATATGCCCATAGTTGTTAAAGGCGCATTGGGCGTGCGCCTCGGGCGCCGGGCGCATCAAGGCGCAGCTTCAGCGCCTTGAGTATGCTGAGGCGAGGCTGTTGACAAAGGCGCGTGCCTTTTGCATTTGGGGCGAGAGGCTCAAGTAGTTAAAAAGGCGCGCGTTTGTCTTCTTCCTATTATTTTTGCCTTTTAAACATTTGATGTGTTCAGATTCTTCTAACTTAAGGCTATGTTTGGTAGGGTGGCTTTGAAGAGGAAGGATAACATTAGTTATGAGGGAAAGGGAAGGGAAGGGAAGGATAATTGGTATTGTGTTTGGTTGATTAATGAAGGAAAAGAAGGGGAAGGACAATAATCATGTTTGGGAAAAGAATAGGAAAGAAAAGAAAGGGAATTATTTTATTAATTGACCATTATACCCTTCTATACTTATATATATATACTGTCTCTAGGCCCACAAGAAAATAAATAAAAAAATTTAGGGCAAATCATTTCAGCCTCCATATTCTCGTTCTCAACTCTGATATATATATGTGTGTGTGTGTGTGTATTTATATTGTCTCCTCAGGCCCACAAGAAAAGAAAAATAAATTTTAGGGCAACTCATTTCAGCCTCCCCAATCTCGCCTCCACATATATATATATATATATATATTTATTTATATTGTCTCCTTAGGCCCACAAGAAAAAAAAAAAAAAAAATTTAGGGCAACTCATTTTAGCCTCCCCAGTCTCGCCTCCATCTCCATTCTCGTTCTCCAGTCTGAACTTGCCCTCTCTCTCTCTCTCTCTCTCTCTCTCTCTCTCTCTGCACTACAAGAATCAGGAGTTCAAAACCCATCTATTTCAGTTTATCTATCTGTCTGCAAGAATCAAAAGTTCAAAACCCCTATCGGTATATCATTTCAGATTGTTCAGAAAATCAAAACTTATTTCTTTCAATTTCCATCGCCGCTGTTCTAGTTCGGGTTCGCCGTTCGCAAGCTTCAGCCGCTGGCCCGTCGTCTCTCACTCTCTCTGCAGCTGCTAACTTGTGTGTATATATAATCTTGATGGTAAAATTGGCATCACAAATATTGCTTCAGCCATTGCCTTCCCTTTCCTTCCATTTCCTCCCATTTTGGGAGGATAAGCAAATTACTGTGCAAAACTATACTTAACCCTCCAAAGCCTTCCCTCTCCTTTTCTTTCCTTCCACCCATTTTACCTAAGCACAACTTTTTAATCACCCTCCATCACCTTCCCTTCCCTTTGCTCCCATTTCCACTCTACCAAACTGAGCCTAAGTGGTGGGTGTTCCCTACCACTACCACCAAAAAAGTTAAAAGACCAGTCCAAATAAAAAAGTAAAGGAACCCAAATTAGGGCTTAATTGCTACACGAAATATTTGGGAGCTCTGGGTCTCTTCGTCAAGCTCTCTCACTCTCTGGTAACCTTTTTGTCTCTTCTTCTTCTTCTTCTTCTTCTTCTTCATCTTCTCTGTTTTTTTTTTACTTCTTTCTTCTCTAATTTCTTGTTTTTTCCTTCTTCTTCTCTGTTGTTTTTTTTTTTTCATCATTCTTCTCTGTTTTTCTTTTTTCCCTTCTGTTCTTGCTTTTCTCTCTGTCTGTCTTCTTCTCTGGCAACCAGCTTCTTCTTCTTCTGTATGTTTTTTTCCCTTCTTTCTTCTTTGTTTTTTTTTTTTTTTTTCCCCTTCTTTCTTCTCTGTTTTTTTTGTTCCTTCTTCTTCGCTCTTTTTTTTTTTTTCTTTCTCTCTTTTTTAATTATTTATTTATTTTAGCTATCAAGTATCAACATGCCTGTTAGTTTTTCATCTGGAGTGTGGCTTGTGAAATGCTGCTATTTTAGGCTTTTTAGCTGTGAAAATGCATGCCTGTAACACCTGTTATTGTTTTCTAATGTTGCTATTTTAGCTCTGAAAATGCATGCCTGCTATTGTTTCCTGTGGAGTGTGGCATGTGAATGCCTTCATTTTTTTTGTTCTTTGCTGTGAAAATGCCTGTTGCACTTTTTAAGTGATGATCAAGATGGTGCTATGTTTATTGACGATGAGGATGATATTTAGATCCTTTGGTGGTCTTCTTAGGAGTTAAGGATGAACTGATGAAGTGAACATTTCTATGTTTGTTTTAGTTTTTATTTAATTAGTTGACTTTTGCATCTTTATGTTAGTAATTAGTATGTTACTATGTTGACTATTGAATGCAAATATTTGGTTTAGTTTGCTTTTGCATCTTTATGTTAGTATGTTGATTATTAAACTTATGTGTTTGGTTTACATGATTTTACATCTTTATTGGGTGTTATTTTTAATTTTTTTTCTCAACTTCAGTCGGGCGTGTGCCTCGCCTTGCGCCTTGCACCTCAAGCTCCAAGGCACCTTGGCGCCTTAGTACGCCTTAAGCCTTTAACAACTACGTATATGCCTGTTTGTTTTAACCCCCATCTTGGTGAACCTTATCATGTGTTTTCCTTGTCTACGCCTACTCTATCTCCTCCCATCTCGGGTACTGCATCAAATGTTGTTTCCAGTGCTCCTGATTCTCGAATCCATCAAATGTCCTCGCCACCTGCATGGTGTATTGGTAGTGAAGCTGTTGTCACTAAAGCCTCCAACTTCTCAGTGCCCAAGGGAACACTAGGTCACCTTCTGCTGATCAAGTCTTTCAGGGAAACTATACTAGATCAAATGTTGTTTCCTATGCTCCTGATTCTCAAATTCATCGGAGGTCTCCGCCACCTGCCCATCGATGGTGCTGCTGTTGTGAAGCCTGCCAACTTCCCAGCTATCGAAAGAACTAGGTCACCTCCTTCCCCCTTCTGCTGATCAAGTCATTTTTGAGAATTCCAATTCAGTCCAAGATGATGATGAACGGTAAGATATTATCTGCTTAGAATCTAATCATCATTTGTTACTCTTGTTATTCATTATTAATTCCAGTTCATTATGTTTCTTATGTCTTTTCACTTGTGATTATCAGAGAATTGCAAGCCGAAGCAAAGAGAATGGCCCGTTTCAAGGTCGAACTAAGCCAACCATTGCAAAGCACTCCTGGTAATGGAAACCAGAAATTCTCTACGAATAGACCTGATCGGACTATGGGAAGGCAAAAATTAATGGAGGAACATTCTGCCGATATGGTGGGGGATCTCTCCGGTGGCAATGCTTTATCTGATCTTGAAGCAGCAGAGTCATCCAATATTATAACTGGATTATGTCCTGATATGTGTCCAGGTATGGCTTTCAATTTTGATCAATGTGCAAGCCTGTAAATTCATTGTTTTCGAGCTGCAATGTTGAGGTTGTAGGTCCAGTCCAATTTTGTCCATCCTGCTCAAAGTGAAAAATTGGTTACAATATTGTTTTCCATGTATTTTTAATTTTAAAAGAAAGAAACTGCCATTCTGGAAACGGATAATGTCTGTATATTCTGAACTTGATATGAAATTATATCTAGTTCATTGCTATTCTGAATTTTACAATTGAAAGTTCCATCTTGCAAATGGAATAAAGACTGATTTTATGTTTTCATGGTTGTGCCGGATCAATTCTTTGGTTGCTGAAATGCCATTTAGTTGTTACCGATTGCTGTTGTTGTCAGATAAGACTTCACATAGTTGCCATGCATGAATTATGTGAATACACAAAAGGAGAAGGCTTTTCGGAGGGTGTCGATGCACACCTCAACATTGAACAGATGAACAAGACATCAGTTGAATTGTTCCAATTGTATGATGATCACAGGAAGAAAGGAATAAAGGGGCCAAGTGAAAAAGAATTTCGAGCTTATTATGCACTTCTCAAACTGGACAAGCATCCTGGGTACAAAGTAAGTCGTCTGCAGTATCCACACAATTGTACAATATTCATTTCAAAGTTGCCTGTAAAAATAAGATCTCTGTGCTAGGTTGAACCTGCCGAGCTGTCTCTTGAACTTTCCAAGATGACACCAGAGATAAGACGAACACCAGAAGTGTTATTTGCCCGTGATGTAGCAACGTTGTCTCTTGACTCTCCTTCGTTTATTTAATACATTCAGGTTACCGAGTCGGATACAATCTAATATTAATTGTTATTTTGCTCTTTCAGAGCTTGTAGAACGGGTAATTTCCTAGCCTTCTTTCGGCTTGCAAGGAAAGCGAGTTACCTTCAAGCATGCCTAATGCATGCTCACTTTGCAAAGGTATGGGTAAATACCTCCCATTGTTTTATGATTATGCTTTAATTCGAGCCATCTATTTTGGATTGTTTATCCACTGTAATTATGAGTTTGCTTTATATGTATACCCATGAATTTAGCTGCCACAATAGTAAGTGCTGTGGATAATGTAACAGGTGGATTTAAGTTCCTTTTTTTTTTTTTTTACAATTAATTTGTGCTGTCCATGCTTAAATATTTCTCTTTTGCATGTTTTAATTATGAGTTTGCTTTATTTCTCTTTTGCATGATATTACTGTGTATCTAACATGTGCACATACACATGGAAATATGATAGTCTCATTGTTTTGTTGTCTTAATCGGTTATGAACCCATGCACTTGCATCCTTACATTGTGGTCTACAGAACAACCAAGGTATCCCTGTGGCCCGTGTTGCCAAATGGCTTGGAATGGAGGTACTTTTTCTTTGGCTTGCTGGTGATTTACCTTTGTTTCAAACTAGCAAATATTAATGTATCATGTTTGTACTGGATTTAGGAAGAAGACACAGAAAACCTTTTGGAATATCATGGGTTCTGCTCCAACTACCACAAACAGCATGGTGCTGTTTATGGGGACAAGTTTTTTCAATGGCCAGGGCCAAACTTCCTGTCTCAACAAGTTGAACTGGTGTTGGTTTCTGCTCATAGATCTTAGTCAAGCGGAACTCTTTCACTTCTTCAGCAGACAATGATACCGATACAGGAGGAGATGAAACATCCTCAACTATCCTTCTCGACTTTTTCAGATGAGCAAGTTTTGAAAGCTTCACAAGAAAGTCATTGTCAACATTGAGAAATGGGCCTTCTTTCACCATGTATGGCTCTTCAAAGGAATTTGATAAAAGAATTTGAAGAGCCAAACATGGTGAAAGAAGGCCCATTTCCTATATTTCCGGATGATATATGGTGGCTTTACAAAGGTTCCATTTCGGGCGAGGGTATTGAGAACCAGAGACTACAACTTGAAAATTACTTGATCAAATACCTGACCCAATCAAGTAAGGCGATGGGACTTGCACTGGCGACAAAGGAGGCTTGTGTAATGCTACAAAAGAATGCTTGGCTTGAGCTCCATAATTCAACCTGCTATCTAGTTCCAAAGTGGGTGATGATTTTTCGACAGAATTTTTAATTGGTGGTTAATGAACTTAACCAGTGGAGCGGTTTCTACAGCTTATATCTTGGAGCAGCGAGGTGTAGACGCCACGATATATTTTTTTTAAGACTATGCTAAGCTAATCCATACTCGTTGCAATTATTTGCAACCTAAGCTCACCAACTTACATGCGTTGGGAATTATCCCCATTGTTGTATTTTCTTGTAGTAAAACAAATAAAAATTCCTTTACACACATGGCGCGAAATATATAATTTCGCCAACAGGCTAATGCCTAATCAAACAAAATATAAATAACTCACAGAATGAGGTAATAAATTCCTCCTTATTGCTAAACCACGTTATACCCTTTATGAAAAAATGCTTTAGAAAATAACTTGCTTCCCATTTTTGAACTCTAATTTACGAGTTTACAATAACTTAACTCTAATTTACGAGTTTACAATAACTTAACTATTTCGCCCATTCTGGAAGCACACAAAAGATCTCTAATAAGATTGAGTTCTATAAATATGTTCTTAATTAATGTAGAGCTTATAATTCAATTCCTTTTAAACAATGATCTACGAATGAAAAATCTTAAAAAATCGTCTAGACAAATCTTTAAGCAATGTTAAACCAACAGGCAATTTCGAAAATTTTATTTAATTCTCTTAATCGATTTTGGTCAAACCCCTAAATTAGATTAATTCTCAACATACTAACAATTTTGTATCGTATTGACGTTTGAGAATATCTAAAAATACATTCATCCTTCTTGAAAAATATTGAGTATAGAAGTAATAACTTTCCACAATTCAGTTGTCTGCTCTATCTCGCATATGTGTTTACTGTGTGAACATCGTAGTCTATGTCATTCAATCAGTTTTCACAATAAATATTGTTTAGTATACGATCCTAGCACTTATGCTCTTGCCTCCTTAACAATTAAAGTATTTCAAACAAGCACATAGTATAAAAAGAAAATAAAAAGAATAAATAACTCGTTGAAGTAAACTAATAAATAATAATTTTATTAATACTTCTCCAAAATTACAACTCGGAAATCCCGTAATGCAAGGACCCCTAAAAACATTATTCAATAATCCAGTAAACTATAAATAAAATAAGTCTATCATCCTACTTTAGAATAAACCGAAAGAATAGGTAAGTCCTCCAATTGCGGATCTTCAACCTTGAGACTTGAACCTGAAAGATAAAAATAAGTGGGTCAAACCCATGAGCAAATTTTCTCTACTAGGTATCTAAAAGCCAATAAAGAAATCATCTCAATAATTCACGAAATATAAATAAAATAAAACAATTAATCTAAGCACTCAATAAAACAAATCAATTAAAAATTAAAATAAACGCAATTAATTCTAATTAAATTAAATAAATCATTTAAAAATAAAATAAAAGTAATTAATCCTAATTAATAAATCCTTTAAAATATCGGGGTATTACATAATATGCATTTTTACGTGCATGGTGTGTCCGAGTACCAAAGCACAATTGTGGTAAAGTGTGGCCAAGTTTGAATTTATAGAATGCCACTACCACTACTATCTATTAATATAGCTAGAGTGAGTTAGGATCGTCCCAAGGGATCGGAAGCGTATTTTGGAATCAATGTTAGATTAGTAAGTTGAATGATCAAAAGAGAGCTTGTTGGTTGAATTATACTACAATTTAAACTAAAGTAATGCAATGTAAAACAACTAAAAGAAATTAGGTGTAAAGAATGAGAGAGGAGTCTTGGGATATAGAGTTCACCACTAAACATTGCCTTCCTAGACATTCAATATTTGATGGAATAGTGGGATTGTGTGTTATAAATGAAAGTGTGTGCCATTAATTAAAATATTAAACATAGATGGCCAAGTAAACATACATTGTCTAGTCAATCTAGTGAATAATACAACATATCAAATTAAGCCATTGATCCTTCCATAAGCCCACAATTAATGCAGATTTAATAAATTAGAGAAATATACCACTTGCATTCATAAGCATTGAATATTAAACAATAAGAATGGATTGTCCACCTATCTAAAAAAATAAAACAATTACACTACAACCATGCTAATGACATGAAAATTAAGCTAATTAAACTAAGAAGAAACTAGGGAGGTGGCACAATCCATCAACAAATAAGTATGAACCATCAAATAAACTACAAGAGTAATCCATTTAAGTACCATACCTTGACCATCACTAAATTAATAATATCAACACACATAGACATGCATTAATCTCACAAAATCTAGAGATAAACACATGAACATTCATTTTAGCATACATAGATGTATGGATAGAATTAAATGATCAATTGGAAGTTTTAAACTACACAAATCATATAGAAACAAGATTTATATATATAAGAGGTCAAGACAAGAATTACAACACAAATCCCCATTAATTACAAAACATCAAAGTCTAGGAGACATGCTTAGGGCTATCTCTAGCCCTAGGAGAATGGTTTAGCCACTCATTGATGTTGTCATCTAACCCTCAAGGGCTATCTCCATGGTAGAATTCATCATCTTCCCCTTGTGCTCTTAGTAGAAACCCTAGATGAATAGAAGAACTTTCCCAAATTGTATGTTTCTCTCTCTAATCTCTAACCAAGTCCCTCTCTAACTAACTAACTGTGATACCCCTAATTTCGGAACACGGGTTAATCAAGTCTGCGCACAAAATCAAGGAATATCAGCAAATCAATAATAAACAAGCACATAATACAAGAGGAAAAAATAAATAAATAAAAATAACGCTGAAAGGGGAAATCTAAATTAATAATTAAAATATAAATCCTTTAATACATCAATCTCCAATAAATTCTCATTATAAGAACAGAACCTCCATAGTACAACTTGGGAATGCATACAATGTGGACTCCTAACAAAAATCCCAAGTAAAGACGAAATAAATAAATGTCTAATTCAAAAAATAATAATAATAATAAAAAAAAACAAAAACATAGTGGAGGTCCTACATCGACGACATCGAGAGAGTGATGAAGTCTGGTCTCTGCTCAGTACGAACTGACTCTACGTCTGGAACTGTCGAGGACCTGAAAAGATAACGACAAAGGTGGTCAAAACCCATGAACAAGCACTTTCTACTACATCCCAAATAGAGACCCGATAAACGATACATCTTAGTTCGACTCATGCAATAACTATGTAGGTTAATATACATAAGTATACACCCTATAGACTTTCATTGGATTATAAGACAGCCTCAACTAGATAGTAGGTCTTATGCAAGAGCACACAAGGTAGTCACGAGTACCTCTTTTACCAGGGCGCACACATCCTTATAACCAGCTACTTATCCCATCTGGCAATATACGCCAACCCTAACCATCGATCCGGATATCTCAAGCTCGTATCAAGGTACACTCTCAAAACATACATATGTAAGTAATTATAGCCATATCCTGACAATGGCACAATCTAAAGTTATAACTATATCCTGACATTAGTATGACAAAATGTATGAATCTAGGTTTATTAGCCAGCTCACACAGGTATCAGCAAACCATATCCTAACAATGGTGCTTCTAAGACCATATCCTAACAATGGTCTTACAATATACACTTATATACAAATATGTATACTTAAATTCACCTACATTAACATTAGAATTGATCTGAGTATTTTATGTGCTGGTATAGGCTTCTATATTTATCATACAATTAACTTATAATATAAGTAAAATAATTTACGTTAACTCATGCATGATCAACAATCATAGTAACGGCTATAGAAATAAATATAATGAGCTATTAAAAAAAATAGCATACTAGTAATTTAACTTGCAAGTAAGGCCATGTTCCGTTGCATGCACAATTAATATCCTATTATCCTCTTAGATAATTTCTATGACAAAGTAACCATCAATAAAAATTAAATCAATAACTTTTAACTTAAACAAATTCCATTATATTACACTTTATCCTTATAATAGTTATTATATAATTAATCCATACTAGTGAACTCAAAGTCTAGCAATGACCATAGCATAATAGGAAATATTAAACAATGCAAACAACCTGTGTAGTTGCCCAATTTACGGACCACCCATGATGCCATTGAATTTCTCCTAACCCAACATAACATCCCATTTTGTGATGCCACAGAAATTCGCAAGACCCATAAAAACATACTACCAGCCAAGAGTAGTATTTCGCAAGACCTAATAGAAAACCAGAAACAAAATTTATATAGAAATATATATACAAATATTAAACCATATGATACCCCCAGATTTCCGGATGCGGGTTGGCCAGGCCCACGCTTGATTACCCGAGGATATCAAATCAATTAGCAATAAATGAACACAGAATATAATTAAGATAAAACAAGAATAAATAATTTTGCTGAAAAGAACTAGAACAATAATCCAAAACTGAAAGCCTCATAATAAAATTTTATAAATTAAATAATTAATTTGATGCATCCAACTTCTCCAATTCTAATACAACTCAGGAATCCATCTCTAATGGACCCCTAATAATCCAAACAGACATGAAAGCTACTTAAAGAACATCCAGAGTAAACCATGAAGAAAAGTCCTACATTATCGGAAGAGTGAGTAGTAGTCTCTGCTCAGCACGATCAAGTCTAAGTCTGGAACTAACAAGTACCTGAAAAATAGAGGTGGGTCAGGCCCGCAAACAAAATCTAACCTACTACAATCCAAGCAGAGACTCGATACGCATATACATTCTAACCAACTCAACAATAGCTATTAGTCCGTACGTATGTATAATCACACTACAGGACTCTTACTAGGCTATGCTAAGGGTCTCAACCTGAATAGAAGGCAACATGCAAAAACGCACCTGAGTGGGCATGACTACCTAAGCCTAACAAGGTATACCTCAACCAACATAGCTAGCTACGCATCTTACTACATATACGCTCCCTAACCGTCGACTATGAGACTCAAGTTCAGATTGTGGTACCATAATTTATATATATAAATTCCCATCCAAACCAATGTAGTGCTGCTCAACAGTTCGTTGCCATGACACGACGTAAAATTAGGATTAAAAATGTTTTCATTAAATCCCTATCCATTCTACTAACAGAAAATATAAACAACCATCTAATATGTCGTTCAACTGTTTTAGTTGACAGGACATGAAACCATGGAAGATTTAACTGTTTTAGTTAATCCATTTCGTATGTATGAACGAGTTGGAATTAGTGTTTTGATCTAATCCGTCCCTCCGTATACTACCGTCCCATACCGGTGCATACCATGCATATGATCCGTAAATGATGCAATAACTCAATCAATACATCAAATAAATCCACACAATCTAAATAGTTGATAAAACAGAATTGAAATAGTACATCAACTATAATCCCAAAATACCATCCCTGTAGTTGTTAAAACAGTTTAGTAGTCCAGCAATTAAAATACAAACATTTAATCCAAGAACAAACCATGGAGAAAAGTCCACAATTGATACCATTATGTTAAATATAAGCATCAATTGTACCATGTTAACATGATAAAATAAATGACTATACAGGACATGTAAACCAATTTACTCCAAATAAGCACAATAGAGTATATAACTTCATAGGCTTAGATTCCAAGACACTAGTACCAAAATAATTACAGAACCATCAATGAAAAATTGCTATACTAAGATTAAGCAAGTTCAATTCTCTTCCTCCCAGAAACCAGTAAGCTAATTCATTTAAATTACCTAATGTTCAAGTATAGTCATCAAGACAATTAGAAACTTATACCTTCCATACCTATACGAGATTACTGAAACACATTAACTGTAATCCATCACTGAAAATTATTGTATAAAAATTTCGCAATTTAAACTCCTTTACTTCCATGAACCGTAGTCTAACTTATTTTAAATTTGTCTACGGTTAAGCAAACACCACTTTGGTTTAATTTTTCATTAGCCTATTCACTGAAGTTTTAATACAGCTTAGAACCGCTCTAACTACTCCCAACACAGCCTTTACTGACCCTGTTACCATCAAGAAATAATCCCCGAAGCAACAGAATCACTGGAACACAAAAGAAAACGAAAAAAATAAAGAAAAATGGATGGAGCAGGCTCCAAAACAAAGTGGAGCCACCTCCATCCTCTTGGAGCTGCCTCCACAAATGGGTGGAGCCACCTCCAAGTGCTTTAGAGCCGGCTCCACCCTTGTGGGGAGCCGCCTCTTTCCCCCTCTCTTCCGTTCTGCTTGCTTCCTTCATCTGTGTCCTCTTCGGCGACGTCCAGTTCATCCGTCCTAAATTACTATGGCAGCTACTAGTTTATGTTATGTCTCAGTATGATCCAGAAATAGTTCAATGCCTTAGTCATTCACCGACAACAATCGAAGCAAGAATTATACAACGAGAGATTAGAGCGAGCAATTTATAATTCAAGAACACGCACTGTTTTAAGTAAATCAAACATGTGAACCAGAGTATTATTAAGGCTTCTCAGAGTGTTAAAAACTAATTTAACTCTTGATATATCAGTTTACATGAATTAAACATCGAGTTATGTGAATTAATTTACAAGTTACACACAAAAGATTTTTAAACAAGCAGTGCAACCTATGCTACGTTCAGTTTAAACAAAACAACAGAGACATGCAAACTAATTTACTTTTAATCTTTATAGATTCCTGGAATTGTATTAGAGATGTAAAGAACACGAGCCTAAGGGATAGAGTTAGGATTAGAACTTGCCTTACACCGACATCCTCCTCAATTCTCTGGTGAAACCACTGTTTGCTCCCTCTGGTTTCTCTCTACCTCCATAACCGTGAACAAGGTTCTAAAACCCTAAGCAGACCATTGCTCATATATTTATAGTCCAACTAATCTTAGGTTCAACTAAACCCTAACTGACTTACCCGGCCCATAAACCAACCTATGATATATATAAATATCGGCTACATAAGTGAGATGTACTAAATAGCTAAAACCCTAACCTAATTTAATAACCTAATCTTACAACAGTGAAAAATTAAATAAAATAATACAATTAACAATTTAAATAACACACACTTAATTAAACAATTTAAATAACACAAATAAATCACACAAAACAAGTACATCAATTAAATAAACACATCAATACATAGCCACGTAAGCACCCAGAAATAATAAAAGAAATAATGAAAATAATAAAAATAAATAGTAAAATTCTAATTATATCCCTTTTAAAACTAGGGGTCTTACAAACCACCATAACCCATCACTGAGTTTCTAAAACAGACCCCTTTAGACATTAGATTTCAAACTAGTAACTAATTATATATACATGAATATATACACATTAATTTCACCCAATAAAATCTGATTGAAATCATGAAATTAAAGACTTTATTTTCTGTAATTACACCCTATAATCATACTAGATTTGAACCGCATACAAAGTCTAAGGGAATGAATAGAAGAAGACTTACCTTTATTTTTTTATAAATTTTAGATTGCAACTCTTTCTCCTCCGATTTTCCCTTGACGCCGGTGGCTTACGTGTCACCATCGTCTACCTCTGCGCTCTGAGTGTCGCCCACAACAGCCACCCTCACCACTCTCCTCATTTCTCTTTTCCTCTTTCTCTCTTTCTTCCTCTCTTTCTCTCTTTCTTTTCTTCTCTTTTCTCTCACGCCGCCCCTCTTTGTTCATTGGTTCGTCTCTTTCAATACCCAGATAAAAACTAACCTATATAAACAATAAAAAATAAATAAAAAACTAATTCTAATGTAACCGAACCTAACAGGCCCAACATCTAAACCACACACCAATGGCATGTCCCACATTGAACTCTAATGATATAATAATTTAATAATACAATTACACATGCAAACTTATAATAATAAATTAACATCATAATTACCTTAAACTACTGTGCACATATACTTTATATATATGCACGCCTACATCCATATATATATATATTTGGAATATATATATATATAAACACATTAATATAGTTTATATATATTTATTTATAATATGCTAAATATATCTATATCATATATATATATATATATATATATATGTTTGTATATAACACTTTAATATATATATATATATTAAAGTGTTATATACATACATATATCTATATATATATATATATATCTACCCATCCATACAATTAACTTAAAATAAATAAAAATAACCTCAATGAAAATTTACAATTAACTACAAAATTTCTACAAAATCAGTGCATTTAAATAACAAATAAATAAACACACAAACGACTCCAATTAGCCAAGTAGCTAAAATATATATATATTTAAAATAAACACTAAATAATTAATATTTAAATGGCAAACAAATAAAATCCTAAAACAAATGCACAAACAATACAAATAGCCACGTAGATAAATAAAATGAAATAAAATAAATAAATAAAATCCTGAAAAATTTAGGGGTATTACACTAACTCCTTACTAAAAATGGCCAAATTCCTTATATAGGTAGCTTAAATGTCACACCCAATGGTTAGATCTCGTACATTAAGACCTCCAAATGATTGCACCACGAGTACACCTTCAATTTGGCTTGCAATTTGTTTTTTACGCAATTTGAGGCAATTCGATCGATCACATAGTTGCTCTGATCGATCGAACCACGGCGGCGCACTTTTTGGATAAGGACAAGGCTGAGATATTTTTGGGAAAATGACAAAAGTAGTTGGTGAGGATAAGATGAAAAAGGTTTGATCGATCGGAGGAAATGTTGGATCAATCGAATAAGAAATTTTCCTGAAGATAAGGACAAAGGACTCGATCCATCATGGCAGGGTTGGAACAATCACAGTGTGATCGATCGTAACTTGGTCTGATCGATCGTAGAGGACTTCTTCACCACTTTGCTTCTACTTTGCTCCTTCTTCCAACAGGCTTGAGATTGCTTCTTTTAATGCTCTAATTCAGCTAAATTGACTTATTTTGGGATAAGTGCCTGAAAATGGAAATAACATAAAATTAGACTAAAACGGGAAAATAAGATAGAATAGGTCCTAGAACATTCAAGATTAAGGGGTTTAAATGCGCACTTTTCAGCGCGCTACAATGGCCCGCGGCTTTAACATATGCCAAATACAAAATATCACATGTCAAACCTCCAAAATTCGTAAAGTTAATTTCATAAGTAACACATGAAACCAAGAGTATACATGTAAGCTAAAAGGTGTTTGGCCCTTGGCCACATATCATACATATAAAAAGTGTCTCAAAGAGTGCACTTAGGTACACATTACATATTCCAAAGCAAAAATGACATATCAAAACATAGTTATGCGATAAAACTTCAAAAGTAAAAATTAAACATGCTAATACTTGCATGTGAGCAAAATATATCAAAAAAATACTCCAAGCAACCAAGCAAACCTAGGGATGTTGTGCATCCCAAAATAAATTCTCCTTTACCTGAAATATTCCAAACAACGAGGGTGAGCAACCAAAGTTACTCGTAGGAAAAAGTAAATGCATATACCCTAAAGTTTCCACGAACTTTTGCAACATAATATAAACCAATACATATGATTCATGCTACCTAACGTCTATGTTCTATGGGAGAGCTAAAGGATCATCCTAAGTTATAGAGGAAGCAATTTAAAAGCAATCCACAATAAATAGACAATCTATTACAAAGGTAATATTCCATAAGATGCAACAAGTCATAAACCCTAGGTTATATCAACTTGTAAAATAATATAAATGATCACATGTGGTGCATGCCACCTAACTTCTATGTTCAAAGTGGTACTAAGGAATCATCCTAACCTACCTTAGAACATTTTAAACATGAATCACAGATACTGAAGCAATTAAACGACATTGGACATAGCCAAAACAAAACGGTAAGTTACAACGACTTAATTTAAACGACATTGGAATAACCAATATGAAACAACAAGTTACGACGACTTCATGTTATCAACTTGAACAAAATACGAGATCAACAATATGGATACAACAAGTTTCAAAGATTTAGTGTTATCAACTTGAAAAGAAATGCGAAATCAAACAAGGTGGATATACTTGGACATCACGCCAGATTAAATCGAACAAATAATAGCTATTTTAGGTTACTAGCCTACCGGGAACTACCCTAGTGCGCACATGTAGGGAGAACTCATATCTCCCGCATTAGAGTCGAACTCTAACTATAGTCAAGACAATGACATCCCAAGTTTCCAAAATCAACAAATTATACACAATATACCCTAAGTATATAATGCATTTAACCATTTATCATGCACAAACCAATAGGAATTCACACAAGTCGTGCCCTAAGTCCTCAAGCTAAATGGCATACGAAATGTCGAATCTTCAATCTGTGATTTGTTACACACAATAATGGTATAGACAAAATTGAATCTTCAATGTGCAATTCGTTACACATAACAATAGTATAGACAAAATTGAATCTTCAATGTGCAATTCGCTATACTTAAAAACTATGTTATTAATTCATAAAACCCATTCACGTAAATATATAATAAGTCCTAAATCCATGTTTTAAACATCAATATGATATCAAATACACAATTGAATCGATGGAAACAATTATATAGAATTACTAAAATCACATACTTAAAATCTCTAGATTTCAAAATACTACCAAATGGATTCAAGTTCATATATGCTAAAGATCAAGTCAAGGCCTTTACCAATATTAAGTTCTAAGTGAATTTCATGCAAGGTACAACTATATACAAGTCTTAAGAATTAATGGAAGACATGCATACAACTTAAATTAACTTCAAGAACACTTAAAACACTAAGGTTATAAATATAGTGATTTTTGTCATGCTAACATGGTATTCATTAAATCCTTAACTTAACAATGACATAGTCAAATATCACAACACAATTAGAAACAATAATTGTACAAGAATATCATAGTCACAACTACAAGACTATACAAGAAATTCCAATTTCTACCATGCATAACAACAATATTACAAGTGAATATTCACATATAAGTCTTGTGTAAAATGACACCCTATGTTAGATATAATTAAAATATATCTAATACAACCCTAGAACATCAATTTACATGCATGCAATGTATATCAATAACAAAGGAATAAGAAACCATAACAAGAATATAAACATAGTACAACCCCTACCTCACTAGAGGATTGTCCCTCTAGAATCCAAGGCAAACAAACTCAAAATGTAAAATTGAGAAACGTTCCTCTAGATTAATAAGAGAAGAAGCTATGATCATCAATGTTTAAGACCAAATTCCTCAAGTAAGGGGGTCAAATTTCAAAAATGGCAAAATAGGTTCTAGGATTCCCCACACTACCTACTCGAGATTCACCCCTCTGGAATCCCAAGCAAACAAGGTCAAAATGAAAATTGGAAAAAGGTGTTCTAGATCAAGAAGAGAGGAAGATATGATCTTCAAGGCCCAAGATCAAATTCCCAAGGCAAGGGGTTCAAAATCTGAAAATGGCAAAGAGAGCTCTGTTTGTCTGCAAGGTGGTTAAGTGAGGGTTCAACAAATTTCTCTAACTTTTCCACCCACAATGGCTATGTTAGCCAAACACACACACACACACCAACACCACCTCTCTCACACACAAACAGATCCATACCCTTCACCTGTCACAATTCTAGAGCTCCTCGCAAGGCTTAATCTCAAGTCTACACTTGTCACTAATCTAAGCCAACAAGTGTGCCAACCAAAAGTCTACAAGTGGGTGAATTTTCACCCTCCACATGTCATCATCCAAAGCAATCTTACAAGGCTTAATCTCAAGCCTATACTTGTCATCATCCCACACCTTCAAGTGCCCCAACCAAAGGGTGACAAGTTGGTGAACCTACACCCAACATTTATCACAAAGACAACCTTCCAAGTCACACCACCAACATGTCAACAAGTAGCCCAATGAGAGTGTAACACTTGTCACACTTTCTAAAAATTGAAAAACGGTCCTTCCCCAAAATATCTTGCAAAATAAATTGGAAAATGGTCCCTACGACAAAAATAATTACAAAAATATAATTACACAAAGTATCACAAAAGAGTAAATGTTTCTAATGAAACTATGCATCCATACCCCTACAGGAAAAAAGTAAATAAATAACATGCTTTTCTACAAAAGCAAGACTACGCATTTCATGGAAATAAAATAATGAAGATGCATGTGAAGTCGGAAGTCAAATCCGAACTCAAAACCTTAAGGTCACAAGAAAAGAAAAAATCAAATAATTAAATAAAAAAAAATTTAATGACGGAAAATCGAAAAAAAAAAGAAAAAAAAAAAAGACAGGGTCATTACACTGTAGGCTTACATCAAGCGTCAGTATTATGCCTATACCCTTTTGCCTTAGTTATGGATGAGTTGACAAGACGCATTCTAAAAGAGATTCCATTGTGAATGTTATTTGTCGATGAAACTGTTTTACTCGATAAGACTAGAGAAGTCAATGCCGAATTGGAGGTTTGGAGGAAACCTCTAAAATTAAAAGGGTTTAAGATAAGTAAAAATAAAACTTAATATATGGAGTGTAACTTTAATAAATTTAGAAATTCAAATGAGGATGTAGTGAAGATTGAGAATCAAGAGGTATAAAAAAGTGAACATCGTTGTTGAAGGATTTATATATTTAAGTTACACCATCTCTAACAACTTAAGCTTTTGGAGTATATTGTAGTTAACATGGTATCAAAGCCAAAGGTCTCGAGTTCAACCCTCACCGTC